CGGATTAGTGCCAGTCAGCCTGGCATTTCGTTTTCCGACTTGGTTTTATATTATCATGGTTATTGATTTCGTAGTTAGTTTTTTCTGTTGAAAATGATGGTGATAATCCCGAATCTGCCTCACATGTAGCCTGCAGACCCAGCCCTCTTGTCTTGGCATTAACGCTCCCTTGCTCCCGGCAGCCTGTTCGAAGATCGTGGCGCAGCGCCTGAGCCAGCAGGGCCTCACGCCCAACAACTCCCGGCCAGGAACCCCGACGCACCTCCTGCGCTATCCCTCGACCAACAATGGCTACACCCCCGCCCCGTACTCCAACATCTCGGCGCCTCTGACACCGCAGATCACCTCCAGCCAGCAAGTGACGCCGCCCATCTCCGGCTCCTCTCCTAGTCATATGTTCACCAACACAGTCGCGAAGGTAAGGGCGTTTTTTTTTTCTTTTCTGGGGTTGGGGATTTGTTTCAGGTAGGGGGAAGGGGGGAGGGAGGGAGGAAGGGAGATTAAGTGGTTTTCTTGGACTTTTTGTTGTTGACTTGTGGTAGGGGAAGGAAGGCTTTGTTTTGAGTTTTGTCTGTGGACGTTAGAACGAGAGCATTAAAGTAGCTAATTGCCAGTTCATCCCCGGGTAGTTTTGATCTGTTAGGTGCTTATAAGAAAAAGTTTAAGCTAGAGCGCTTATAGTGAAGTGGCCTAGACTCTTTCCCGATTATCGCGCCCCTCCCCTAACGCCCGGTGCTCTTCCTGCAGGATGGAACCCTAAGGAGCAGCCACGGGAGCGGCGCCGAGCTGACGGCCATGACCCGCACCGACTCGTTCCGCGACGACGGCTTCAAGCGCGTGAGTGCGCCCGGGGCCGTGACGAGCGCCACCTTCATGGCTCCCCCGCCGCCCCCCACCACCACCCCGGCCCCGGCCCCCGCCACCATCATGGACGCCATCCCCGCGCCCAGGGACAGCAAGGACCTGCCCACGCCCAGCTCCACGCCCACCACGTCCAGGAAGAGCCGGAGAAAATCGAACCTGTTCACGCCGTCGAAGAAGAGCGACGAGAAGGACAAGAACAAGAACGGCGAGGTGGGCAGCGGGCGCGCCATCCCCATCAAGCAGGGCTACCTCTACAAGAAGTCCAACAAGGCCCTCAACAAGGACTGGAAGAAGAAGTACGTCACTCTGTGCGACAACGGACGGCTCACGTACCACCCCAGTTTGCACGTAAGTACCGGCGAAGAGGCTTAAGTCCTGAGTCCGCGGGAGAGGCTGGACGGAGATGGAAAGTTGTGGAAAGTAACATCCACGAATATAATCATAGTCACAAGTAATCCTAAATAAAAGAAAACTGATATTTTTGAAAGATAACTTTGCATTTTAGAAAACCAGGCTCTATCTTAGAAAACTAATCCTATATTTCCCCTCAGGACTACATGGAGGACGTGCACGGCAAGGAGATCTCCCTGCAGTACACCACAGTCAAGGTCCCCGGCATGAAGCCCCGCGGCTCCAAGGTCGTGCCGGGCAGTGGGGGGAGCGACCCCCTGTCCGCGGAGATGCACACCCTCAACATCGCCTCGGTGGGCACCCCGGGGCCGCCGCTCACGGGCAGGTCCTCCCTTGGGGGGCCGCTGCAGTCAAACAAGGACAAGGTGCGTCAGGAGTTTCGTACTCTTTCTTTTTGCTTTATAGGTGTTCGTACATGAGACGAGATGTTATGTGTGATGGATGTTATGTGTGATAGATGTGTGATGAGTATATCATAGATATATGTGGAATGTACAGGATTTTTAATACCATGTTTCTGATAGCTGCAGTATCTTTAATTATATATTTTTTTCTCCACAGGTGACACTCACTTCATATGAGACTCTCCACGACCCAGCAGGAGTCAATGGATTAGACTCTGCTAGTATATCTTCTAAAATTGAGACACCCAATGTTAAGAAGCGACACAGGAGAATGAAGAGCAGTGGGAATAAAAATGCTGAATGCGAAGGTATGTTATTAAGAGCCATTAGTTGATTTGGATATATGATTAAGTAAATTAAGTAACCCGGAAGATAGTATGAGACTATATACTTACAGATGTACAGGCTACCCAAGATATACTGTAACTAAGAAAGGTCAAAGGAAAAAAAAAATATTTTGCCAATAACTATACTTTCATGTATTTTCAGTCTTCAAAACAAGTACCGTTAGACAGAAAAGTCGAACCGAGTGACCATATACATTAAATGACTCAGCATTGAATGACTGACTCGACAACATTGTCTCGCATACTAATGACCCTCCCCCCCTCCATTACAGACTCCGACGGCTACGAGTTCAGCCTGGTGTCCCTCGACAACAAGCAGTGGCACTTCGAGGCCGGCAGCCAGGAGGAGAGGGACGAGTGGGTCTCGGCCATCGAGCAGCAGATCCTGTACTCGCTCCAGGGCAACGAGTCGAACAAGAGCAAGACGCGCCAGGGCCACCCCATCGACGCCCAGACCATCGCGACGCTCAAGAACCAGGTGCCGGGCAACCTGCAGTGCGTCGACTGCGATGCGCCGAGTGAGTGGCACGAGTTGGCGAGGCTCCAGTTGCGTCTTCATTGCTATTTGATGATGATGTTGCTGTTTTTGTTGGTAATTTCATTTTCTTTGGGGATTTTCGTTTATTAAAGGTTCTTTTCCTTCTGCGCAGATCCCGAGTGGGCTAGTATCAACCTTGGCGTCCTGATGTGCATCGAGTGCTCTGGAATCCACAGAAATCTTGGGTCTCACATCTCCAAAGTCAGGTCTCTCGACTTGGATGAATGGCCGTAAGTATTTCAGACCGCATTTTGCTTCTGGTGCAGTGAGAGTTTCCTTTCGAGTAGAGTTTTCTGTACATTGGTGATGGATTATTTAAAAGATCTGGCTGGTTAGCACTGCTTATGAATCAATAGTTCAAATATACCATTATTTACAAAATATGTGCTTTGGAATAAGCATACAGACAGCATAATAAAATGTGTTTCCTCCCGCAGGCCTGGACCCCTATCGGTCATGATGTCCCTGGGTAATGAAGTGGGCAACAGCGTCTGGGAGGCCCACACGAGAGGCCAAGCGAAGCCCAACCCTCGCTCGAGTCGTGAGGACAAAGAGCGCTGGATAAGAGCTAAATACGAGGCCAAGGAGTTCATTGCTATGCCGCAGTCGGGCATTCCTCTTAACGAACAGGTGAGACTTGGCTGGTGGTTTGGGGAAAGATGGAGAAGGAAAAGGAAATGTTCGTCGGGGGAAATGGTACTTCATAAGTGATGGAGGGATATTTTTGTGAACGTGATTTTGGATTGAGTATATTGCTAGATTTTTTTTTCTTTATTGTCGGTCTCTACAGATTGTGGAACGGTGTTTGTGAATGCAATTTTTCTTGAATTGAATGCTAAATTTGTGATTTCAACTTCAGGTTGTCGACTGCGTGTGTCGCGGCGATGTCCAGAGACTGTCGGCCTTGTTGCCTCACGCCGGCGATGCGGTGAACAGCCCCCTCGCCCCCCACCGCGACTTGAGGACACCCCTGCACTTAGCCGCAGCCTTCCCCTCCTTGTCCTGCGTGCAGCTTCTACTCTGGGTGAGTTTCTTCGGAAGCCGGTCGGGATGCGGTGCTGCTGATGTTTCATTACCGTGTGTTGCATTGTGTTATAATTGGTACATTTCGCGTTAATTATTTTTACATGTCAGGGACTTTACGTTTGTGTTACTCTAGTTAGCCCCGACACGACATGTAAAAAAAAAACACTAATTGGAAACGGTAGTGTCCAGCTATGAAGGATAGAGCGAATCGTTTTCCCAGTGCGCAGCGCCTAACCCAATCTCCCTCTCTTCGCAGTACAACGCCAGCGTGAAGATCTGCGACGCCGAAGGGAGGTCCAGCCTCTTCTACGCCCGGACGGCTGGCGATAAGGAGGTGATCGACCTGCTGCTGCAGAACGGGTGCCCGGACTCCGTGGTGGCCGCCCCGCCCATCACGCCCCACACGCCGGCGCTGTCCCACTCCACGTTCCCTCTGTCGACCAGCACGCCGCAGCCGTCGACGCTGCCCCGCAGAAAAGGCTCGATAAGCAGGAAGCCAGAAATGCTCGACAAACTCCAAGCGAGTGTGATATAGTTCCGTGAGCCAGTGATAAAATAGGACGTTGCAGTTTTAAAGGGGTTTACTCTATATATTAAAAAATGATGATGGTAATAATAATAATAATAATAATAATAATAATAACGAATTGATTGTTTAGACTCCAGTAACTTCATGCCCTCTTCATGCTAGTAAATGCTTACTGCCTAGATATATTTTGAGGCCACTTTAAGACTGTAAGAACACGTGACCAGTGACCACCAGCCATGGCCTGCGTGGCCTGCCTGGGCCGTGCGAGCCGAACTCTTGTACCAGGGGAGGGAAAACACATCATTAGAGAGAGAGAGAGAGAGAGAGAGAGAGAGAGAGAGAGAGAGAGAGAGAGAGAGAGAGAGAGAGAGAGAGAGAGAGAGAGAGAGAGAGAGAGAGAGAGATTGGGCTAGATTACTCTGGCTAATAAGTACGTACTCATTGTCTGCCTGTGATCATCTATTGGTGATGTGTTGCAGTCGCGTGTCCTTTCGAAAACACATCACACACTTGGAGATCCTCATCATTTCCCAAACATTCAACTAAGAATTCCTTGAACTTGTGCAAAGTTCGCCGAGTAGATGTACATAGGAAGTGAGCATACCATGAGCCCATTTGTAAACTTCATCATCCTGCACCCTCAAGAGTGTCGTCTGTCATGGTTGTAAATATAATGAACAATGACGTACCAAAGGTTGAATGCGAGTGAGATATATATTGTAGATTTATGTATGTATTGGTTCAGTCCAAGTGTAAAGATGATTATCCTGCTCAAGATACAAATGTATGAAGCCAAAGTTCATATAATCCCTGTATTAGAGGCACATCAAGAGATGTGTAGAAGAAACCAAGCTGTCGACCCGGAGGAAGAGGACTAAGGCACACAAGGTCTATGTTGTTTTGTGTATTAGCATTGGGGAGTGTATCGAGTGTGACAGGATACACGAAGATATACGAAAAAGACCTATGTTAATGAAAATAAGACACTTGGATGGGTTACGAAGTCTGAAACTCGGCCCCACTCTTACTCAAATTGAATGTTTATTATGTATTAGGGTCAAGTTAAAGAAAAGGTGATACTATAGTGTTATAAAAAAAGACGTACATCCCCGAATGTTTCTAATGGTTATCTTTGGATATATAATTCTCGAAGGTCCCAATTAAAACGAAAACCAAAACAGCTGAAACTTGGGTCGACTGTCTTCTTCCTTCCTCGATGTGCCATTGTCTTTGTTGTGCTTTCGTGTTACAGTCTCTCTAAATCGACACACTATGGGATGGCTGCCGACGTGGCTCTCATCTCTGATCCATAGTATCTGTAAAACTCACATTTCTTAATAAAAAAAAATGTAACTGACCTTTGTCACTTGAGGCCGAAAAAGAATGGAGAGGACTGTATAAGGAGGATATTGTTAGTGTACAAATCTTGTTACTTAGCTATCATTTGTATATTTGTATATATATATATGACATGTCCGTTCTTCCTAGCCCTGTAATCTCAAAGAATTCCTCCTTTTTATGATACAGTAAAATATATTTGTGAAAAAGAAGCATCATCATCATTTAGACATCATAGAAAAGACCATACCTCAGATTTCTGCATATTGTGACTGTTCTGTAACCTGCCTGTGTTGTAACGAGATCAGCATCTTGTGTTTATTGTTTTGAACATTTTGTAAACAAGGCAATACTCAGTGTTTAAAAGAAAAAAATCACTTATATTGACTGATCCTGTTACAAAATTGACAAGAACAAAACCTGAGAACTTTAATCTTTGGAGTTTTCAGTGACACTTTGGAAAGCCTTGACGTGTATCCTGGGTATTTTCCAAAGTAACAGTCAGATCCCATATAAGAGATTGAAAACCACAAAAAATCATACACCAAGTACTGTAAGTCCCTCTATGTTTACCTGTATTTATTACAAACTCAAACCAATAAAGGAAAGAAAGTATTATGTATTTTTTATTAACACAGCAGCATATAATGTATATTGGGAATATATTTTTTAGTAAACCATATTTTAGGTACTAAATTACCATAAATTCATATATGAAACTTAACCCCTTGGTGCCGGGTATGACGTGTACGTACGTGCTATGCCCACAGTGAGTACTTGTTTGATTGTTTTTAATCATAGATGGCAACACGTGTACTAACTCCCCAATGAGCCAGTTACGAGCACCGCCTGTCTCGCCCGTTTACCCGTTTATTTGATTTACAAAATATTTTATGTAATCTTATTTTGCTGTTACTAATGTTAAAAAAAATTATAAAAATTATAATGTTTATGATAAAAATAACACCATCGATTTTCATTGCACTAGTGAAAAATACGTTTTTCCCGCCATTTAAATCAGGCGCTAGCAGAGCCATCTATCGGCAGACATTTCACGAAAAACATAGAAAGTGGGCACAATATTTTCCCCATTTTTTGTTCATTTTCCCCGGCACCATTGGGTTAAGGTTCAGCAAGAGAAAAGTGCTGTCTTGAATGTTTGCAAGGAAGATATATGATAGCAAAATAAGCATTTTTACTGAACAGTTCGCTCTCATGATTAATTTGAATGTTAATAACACGATCTGCAATTCCACCATGTATATCTTATGATGAGGAAATCAATATTTAAAACTTTTCTTGAACACTTTATATTTAGTTTATTAAAAGCACCAATACATTAATTTTCACACGTTGTGAAATATCACTAACTCCAGAGATAATGAGGTCTGTACCTTTGGTATTTACTATAACAATTTAGGATATAAAGCCTTAATAGGCAAGAAAAAGTAATAATATTTTCTTAACCAGAAACAATACTCCATATTTTCCTAAGAGAAGCTAAGAAAGTTGGTTATCATACAGTAACTTTAGAAATTATAAAAATAATCCACAAAAAGAAAACTCGTTTACTGTTCCTGAATTTTCCATCATTCAAGACTGGAGATTTAAGTTTTAAGTGTAAGAGGATACGATACCATCATAGGGGATACAAAGTGGCGTGTAAATACATATATAAACACAATTATAGGTGCTTTACCCATACCGTCACTTGCACAAACATGTAACGTATTTACATGACAAGTTACTCCTTCAGAAAAATAACGAGATAGTCTTACAGTTCCCGTTGTTTTAGAATATACTTCTGTTTGAACACTTAAGAAGAAGCAAAGTTTACAATTATTTTTACTTCAATAAGAACACACACAATATAATCTGAAAGTTAAGATTAAGTTATTTAATATCTACAAGAAAAAAATATTTCATAATTTAAGATTTAGTAATTTCATCACCTACAAATAATAATAATAAAAAAATCTGAACCTACTGTTGAATTTCTCTTGACAGAACATTGTCAAAATAATCGGCCACTGCAATTGGAAACATGTAAGAGGCTTTTCTTCAGTACGAATTCCCACAAAAAAGGGAAAAGGGCAAGGAGGTTTCTGTAATTTACATTTTGGCATATAATGATCTTTGATATTGATTGCGATGATATAATCCGTTTTCTTATTACTATTATTATTACGGGGACTGGTAATTATAAGACTATGGCTAGAATACGATTTGTATTACTGCCAATGATGGTGATGAAGTATTAATAATAATGGTGATGGTGATTCAGTAATTAATAACAATCATTGTTATAAAAAATATAGTGGTAGCGATAATGACAGTGATAATGATAACGGTAATAACAACAATAATAACAACAATAATAATCCATAATGATAATCACATTGATAATACTAATAAAACAATAATGAAAATAAAGGTGATGATGATGATGAAAATAGTAATAATAATAATAATAATAATAATAATAATGTTATAATAATGATAGTAATAATGATAATGATAATATAATAATAAAAGCTAATAATGATAATGATGATAATAATAATAGTAATAATAATAATAGTAGTAATGATAATAATAATAATAATTATAATAATAATAATAACAATAGTAATAATAACAATAATAATAATAATAATAATAATAATAATAATAATAATAATAATAATAATAATAATAATAATAATAATAATAATAATTATTGTTATTATTATATTATTATTATTATAATAAATAATGATAATGATAATGATAATGATAATAATAATAATAATAATAATAATAATAATAATAATAATAATAATAATAATAATAATGATAATAATAATAATCATAATCATAATCATAATACTACTACTACTACTACTACTAATAATGATAACAATAATAATAATGATAATGATAATAATAATGATAATGATGATACTAATGATGATAATAATATTGATAATAACGATAGTAATAATAATAATAGTAATGGCAATAATAATAATAATAATAATAACAATAATAATAATGATAATAATAATAATAATAATAATAATAATAATAATAATAATAATAATAATAATAATAATAATAATAATAATAATAATAATAATAATAATAATGATAATAATAATAATAATAATAGTAGTAGTAGTAATAATGATAATAAATATAATAATAATGATAATAATAATAGTACTAATAGTGATAAAGAAATAATAATGAAAATAAAAAAATAATAATGATGATACTGAAATAATGATAAAAAGGGTAATAATGATGACATAATAATAATCTTAATAATAATAATAATGATAATAATAATAATAATAATAATAATAATAATAATAATAATAATAATAATAACAATAATAATAATTACTATTGTTGTTGTTGTTATTATCATTATATCATTATCATCATCTTCATTATTATCATTATGATTTTTATTATTATTATTATTATTATTATTATCATAATCATTACTATTATTATTATCATCATTATTATTATTATAATGATGGTGATGAAGATGATGATGATACGGATAATAGCAAAGATAATAAAAGATAATGGTAATGCTGATCGTGATGAACATGATCATGATCATGCAAAAGATAGCTAATGATAGCAATAGCAACAAATACATGAACAATAATAACGATAATGGAACATCATAGTGAGAATAAGAATGATTTTCGCCAATATTGCCACTTTCATTATCTTCTGATTTTGAAGTATATCACGTCTTCTGAATTTCTTGCTGTAGTCTTTTCTGTCCATTTTCGTATGTTATATTGGCTCACTATAAAACCACAAAAATCTGCTTGTTCGATGTCTAATATATTTTATTATTACATGCTTGCATCATATTCATCATCACACAGATGGAGAAAGAAAGTGGCCTACGATTATGGATGCGTCTCTTTTGCGACGTCTTTCTTTCTCTCTCTCTCTCTCTCTCTCTCTCTCTCTCTCTCTCTCTCTCTCTCTCTCTCTCTCTCTCTCTCTCTCTCTCTCTCTCTCTCTATCTATCTGCGTCACTCGCAATCAGAGGTTGCAACCAAGAGATTTACGAAGCTCGCCGCCATGGCTTCGCCTCAAATGGATAAGCTTAGCCGCGAGAAGCTGGTGCTCGGCCTCGAGCGAGCCAGCAAGGGCCTGAAGAAGAGGCCCAGCTCCCTCTTCGAGGAGGCCATGATTCCTGCCGTCGCCGATGAGCTCCTCCGTTTGCAGGACCGCCACCGCGTCGAGCTCATGTCGGCCGACATCCCTTCTCTGAGGAAGGATTTCGGAGTGGATAAGGACTTGATTGAGAAAAAAAAGAAAAAAATATGAAGTCGACGGTCTGTGAAAGCAAGTCGACGAAAGACCCACGGGAGAGCAGCCATTTTGTTTTTGGGGGAAATTCGCGTAGATTATTATCAGTTTCGTTACTCCCGCTATGATTGTTATTGCCATCACCATCACACTATCAGCAGGTGTCAGTATCGCTAAATTCTACCAGATTTTTATGAATAGTAGCATTTTCTACATT